CGCATCAAATAGCCTCTAAAAATAAACGTGGACATACGAAGTACTAACATATGCACTGGGTCATGTTTTATTGGAAAAATACGAAAAAAGTAAATAACGGAATAATTCCTTTTGTTTCAAATAATTTGAAAAGCCAGAATAGTACTGAGAGCGCATATCTTTCTAATATATATATATATATATATATATATATATATATATATATATATATATATATGTTTGAATAAAAGACAGACCACGTTAAGATTCCATGTAATAAGCTATTTCACCATAACCCCTTTAACAGGGTTCTGGATCATCGACTTTACTTCCAAAAGCTGAAATGAAAAATGAAAAGAAATTCACGTTTTTTACGGACCTCATCAAGTATACGCAAAGTTAACGAAGTGAGGAAGTGAGGTGGGAGAGAGGATATGACTGTGTCATATGTATCATTTTAGTTTCCTATTTTAACCCCAGTGTGTCGGTTGGATGTTGCTCAAATTTAACGCGTCTCGTCTCTAGATAAAGGCGGTTAAGGCGTGAGCGATAAGAACTACATTAAAGGAAGACGTTACAACAACCCCAATAAATTACATGACAGGTTTCATTCAAATTCTTAGACGCTGTCAGTTCGCGTTACTTTAACGTGCATATTTGGGAGGTTAAGGTTTGATAAATATCTAAATTTTCAAACAATCTGCGAAGAAATTAATTTGAAATTCGGTGGAGTTTTGGGTATTTTCTATGAAGCAGTCGATTGGAAAAATCCATAGACAGAACATTGAAAGAGTAATCCAATTTATATTTAGTACTTTATATATATTTAGTACTATATATATATATATATATATATATATATATATATATATATATATATGAGAGAATCCCATCTATATTTGAGAGAACCCTCTCTGCCTTCCATCACCATGGTTGGTGTTGACCTCCTGGAGATTGACTCGTTGCTCCTTCTTGGGCTAAAATTCTCGGCTAATAAGAAGAGAAAACACTATATTGCATCCTTTGCTAGGTCAGCTGCCAGGAAGGTTTTTTTTTTCTACTGTCGTGCGAGATGGTTAAATATTTCTAAGTCTACCATTCGTCCATGCGTAGAATATTGTTGCCACATATGGTCCGGTGTTCCTGCTATCTGTCTATGTCACCAATTTACAGTCGAGCTGGCTAGATGTAACTGTAAATTCTATGCTGTCAGTTTCATTTCTCGCACTTCTCGTTTGTGGAACACCCTTCTGTCTCCATATTCTCTAGCCAACTTTAAATCTGCAAAAATTTGAATTCAATACCAATCCCTATTTTGATTATTCTTCCTCTGTTCTCACTCCATAGCAATGTTCCACTCCCAGTAACTATATATATATATATATATATATATATATATATATATATATATATATATAGAGAGAGAGAGAGAGAGAGAGAGAAAGAGAGAGAGGCACGGTAGAGTAGTGGATAGCAGATCGGATTAAGGAATCGGAGAGCCGAGTTTCGAATTCCAGTCGAATCCATTACATTCCCTTACGTGCTAATAACCTTGGGAATGGTATGAATCCTCTTCTTCTCCCTCTAGCTATGGGTAAATAGCAGAACAGACTGGGTTCTATAACCCTGGATGGCAACTAATCTAAGAGAAGGACATCTCTGAATTCAAAACCAGCGGAGAGATGTTTGTAGTTTGGTGGATCTTGTGGCACGTAGTGGACCAAATCTCTGTATTCGGCCCTTCAACACAAAGCCTTCACCACTATAATCAAATTATATGTGCTGGTGTCTGGTTGTCGCTTCCTAGGAACTGAGCTGCTTGACCCTCATACGTCGAATACGACGGGAGAGTCCACTACATATATATAATTATTTATATAAAAATATGATTCCATCGCTACATAAGAGTTCTCAAGTTTCAAAACAAGAGCCTAAAACTTCAATATAATTATTTGAATTAAATTGAATTAGAGTATCAAGCTCTGTTCCATATTCAAGCGAAATTTTTTTTGAATAACTAATTCCTGAAATTTACGCGTTTTATAATCATGTTCATTATTAAAATTAAAATTACTATGGTAACGGCTAGAGCAATTATTTAAAGAAAAGGTGCGTCAGGATTAATAATTTGTATCAATATCTCAGTTACATTCAAAGACGTCAAGTCAGGGTAAGGTTGGGTTGTCTAAATTTAAAGCGGAAGATGACATCGTCTAGTCTGGTTAAGTTAAGTGTCTATGTATTTATTTATTTTTACTTTTTTCCTGAAAGGGTTTTGTGTATATAAAAAAAACTGTCGTAAGTCGCTAACATTTGTTTTTTTGACGACTTCATAAAGGGATTTTATTTTTATTGGGTAGGGCATTTAAATAATTATATTGAAGTTTTCGGCTCTTGTTTTGAAACATGAGAACTCCTATGTCGCGATGGAATCATATTTTTAAATAAATAATTATATTTAGGCTCTACTTTTGTATCGAGCACTGTTTTTTTTTGAATAAATACAAAAATACTAAAGAACTTTGGATTATTTACCTAACGAGTTCTTTCCTATTTTCTATATATTTTACACACACACACAAACACACCCCACATATATATATATATATATATATATATATATATATATATATATATATATATATATATATATATATTTAGGTAGCATATTTTCATTCAAGCGTGTTTGGTTAAATAATTTAGATGTGTTATGTCTATTTATTTTTGTTTTAATCCTTTCAAGTCCACGAATTAATTTCTTAGTGGCTGCAGAAAAATTCCAAAATTTTCTTTCAAATAATTTTTACTTTCCCATGTGCTTTCAGTCTCATCTAAGACCATCTTCAACGGTTGCATATCTATGGATGTGTTATGCGTTCTCAACCGTAAATTCAAAATATTTTTAAGTGCTATGCAAGGGAGGTAACTTAAAGGATTTTTTAAAAAGATTTTTTTTAATTGTAGTATTCTAATTTAGTATTTTTTATATAACACTTTGCTACTACAAACATTTAAGAACTTTGTTGCTATAGTCGTAGTTGACTTTATTTTCAATCGCAATTCTCTTATATAAAGTACGTTAAGTTTTTGCTTATTATTATCTTAATGAAGAACTGATGTATTTTCGACTAATATCTGTCTAAACAGTGAATGTGGACATGAGTGTTCCTTTAAATGGTCTGAGATTGAACTATGATCGTTCAAGTGAAAAGTAAGCCTTCTCGTCATTGTCGTTGTTGTAAAACCAACATACGTATTCACATTTTTATCAGAGATGAAATTTCCCAAAGGACATTTTAATTGATATATTGATAATACAATTAACCTAGTCATCCATAACATCTTCTCTCCGTCAACTAGCGTCTTACAAATACAGTATGAGATAGATAGATAGATAGATAGATAGATAGATAGATAGATAGATAGATAATGAACAGTATGAAATAGATAATGAACAGCATGTGATAGATAGATAGATAGATAGATAGATAGATAGATAATGAACAGTATGAGATAGATAGATAAATAGATAGATAATGAACAGTATGAAATAGATAATGAACAGTATGCGATAGATAGAGAGATAGATAGATAATGAATAGATAGATAGTTAGATAGATAGATAGATAGATAATGAACAGTATGTGATAGAGAGATATATAGATAATGAACAGTATGAGATAGATAGATAGATCGATAGATATAATAGATAATGAACAGTATGAGATAGATAGATAGATAGATAGATAGATAGATCGATAGATAGATAGATAATGAACAGTATGAGATAGATAGATAGATAGATAGATAGATAATGATAGATAGATAGATAGATAGATAGATGGATAGATAGTATGTGATAGATGATATATAGATAACGATTATGGAGATGGAGATAGATAGATAGATAGATGATAGATAGATAGATGGATAGATAATGGATGAAACAGTATGAGATAGATAGATAGATAGATGGATGGATAGATAGATAGATAGATAGATAGATAGATAATGAACAGTATGAGATAGATAGATAGATAGATAGATAGATAGATAGATAGATAGATAGCCTAACTGATGAGTTTGTGTAACTGGTTGGTAGAACAGGGATTAGGAGGGATAGCAAAAAACAAAGGAGTGTAACAGAGAAGAAATTGGGGAGAGCCATGATCACTCACCTTTTAAACGGCACGACGCAAAGATGAAGAAGAATTTATTTTTGTAAATCACGGTAAATATGACAATATGCCTAAAATGCGAATAGGACGGGATGGTTTTCATTGTCCTATCTTTTAACCTAACCTAACCAATCAATAATTTTCCTGTCTCCAAAATAACAGATTTATACTGCAGACACCACAGTGTATTGCGCTGTCTGCAGTATAAGAGAACTCTACTGCAATATCACTTAAAATTCCTAACTAGTCCCATATGTACAATTTTTGTGTCATGGAGAAATGATAATAACTTTTCCAATTAATATTTCTTCTTCTTTTATGTGCCGTATCCATTCAGAACGTAGGCGATCATGGCTCTCCACCACCTCCTACCTCTTGTAGCTCTTAATTTTCTCTTTCTGCTATTTCTCCCTGACCTTGTTCCGTTATCCATTTGCTCAAGCCCATTAAATGTCACGCGTTGCTTTTTCCCCTGGCCTACTTTCCTGCTATCCGTCCTTTGAGTATTAGATTTTCCAAGCCCTCCTTTCTCATTACGTGTCGCAGAAATTTCAGCTGCCTCTTCCTGATGTTAAGCATAAGTCTCCTCTTCGTTTCCATTCTCTCCAAAACCTCGTCGTTGCTCACATGTTTCGGCCCAGCTAACACTATAGCGTATCTAGCAGATTGTTCTACCGTAAAAAGCGCGACTGCTGTTTCTTCGGTCAAGATGACACGTCTACAAAAATCTTTCAGCATCATTTTAATCTGAACGAATTTATCCAGCTGATGTTAACAGTTATAGACGTAGGTTGATTCTGATTTCTTCCTTTTATGTGGACAGGACACACTATATGTGAGGTGATGGTTGAATTCATCGTGGCTGACCGCAGGTGGACGGCACGAGAGGTGAGGTGTGGTCATGGTAGACAGCATACTATAGTAGTAAATGAAGTAGACCGCATACTATAGTAGCACTGAATAATATCCTCCGTGTGATGACGTGCGGGTATTGTAACGGTTATCAGTGCTGTAAATGGAATCTTGCGGGTCTGGATCCGAGCCAGAATGTTTTGATTTGCTCACGGACACGGCCTGATTCCAAAATGGTATGGTATGTTGGTCTACCGCCTCTTTTGCTTTCACTTTCACGCAAATTCTCTTGGGAAAGACAGGAATCCGTCTCTTCTCCCCGAGCTATGGATTAAATAACACGGAAAACAGATCTCTAGCCCTGAGTGGCAACACGTCTATGAAAAGTAAAACTTCCAATTCCATATCGTGGGGAAGACAACTATCTTCCCAAAGAATACATAGCCTTGCACAGATAATTAAAAAAAAAAACTAAAAGCCTACCACCAGAAGTTAAGCAGTTTCGAGCCTTGTTAGTATTTAGGTGGGTGGGGGCACTTGAAAACATCGGGTACTGTAAGCGACCACTGAGAACCTGAAATATGTTTCGGCTTTAAATAAACAACAAACTATTGATAAATCTCAAAAATTAAATCAGTCGATAACCAACTCCGAGAATGGACAGGGCATTAATCTTTCACACGCTGCGTTGTTAATATTAATTCCCTTTCCACTGCATTCTTTTTCAAGATATCTTACCTGCACTATCCTTACTTCTAATTGAACTCAAGGTTGTTTTCTGTTGCCCTAGACTGATGTTGCTTGTGGCCCATATCAGTTTTTCTCCCTTTGCTAAGACAACCGATCCTCTCGTTCCGCCATCAATTCACACAAGCACGTCACTGCTTCCGATTATCTCTCTTGCTCTCAATATGCCACGTGAAGTATTGAAGTTTCCCAAGTCACCCTTCCACATTATGTGTCCAGTTTTGTCTTCATCTGTGGGGAGATTGTCTCGCATTCACTGCCGTGTGAGAGGATAGATATCACACAGTTGTTCAATACTCTTTTCTATGTTTGTAACGATATATTTTTTTTTCTCTCATCATTTGGCTTAGCTTTTGGAAGGCAACTTTTTCTCTAATCCAATGTGTGATTTCGATTTTGCATTTTCAATCCTCTTTCCAGATATTTAAACTTTTTCACTTGCTCGACGTGTACTTTCTTTTTTTTAATTTAGTGTTGTCTTTCTCCAAGACTGGTTAGCAACCACGGCTAGGGAGCTTAGTCCGTGCTGCTATTTAATCCATAGCTTGTCAGATAATAGACCTATTCATACCTTTCCCAAGTAAATGTACTGATTTCGACTAGATTTCGAATAGCTCGCTGGTTTCTCGTCCCGAGACACAAATCCTACTTGCACATGTTCTTGTATAAAGCTATAGAATGTAATGCGCAGGAGGAAGATGCCAGTAGAGCTATTAAGTAGTGGACAGTAAAGCAATTATAGAAAAGTTAGTTTCCCATCCACTTTAGACTGACCGACGACTTGTTTAAAAAGATTCGCCATGTGTCCTAATCTAAAGATAATAATTATTATATTTTCTCCATGTCGCTATCGGTCCGCTTGATTTGTTTCGGTAGAATGTTTATGGCTTCTTCTAAAGTGAATCATCTTTTCCATCCTGCAATTACGGAGGCGTTTCAAGCGCTGATTTGATCTCGTTTAAAGTGATTAAGATAATTAATTATTTAATTAGGCGAATACATTTCAATGATCTGCACGTAATGTTTTCTATTTCTTCAAATTATTTTAGGATTTGCATGAAATTTATCCGAAAATAAAAAGATAAAATAATTCTAACCAAAATGGCCTTTCTACTACTAACTGTGCACACACACACACACACACACACACACACACACACATATATATATATATATATATATATATATATATATATATATATATATATATCCGAATGTAATGAGACGAAAATAATATAAATTCTAACGTTCACAGCATTAAATTCAAAAGAGGGCTCAATACCAAGAGTAGAGAAATAATTATTTATTATAATTTTCACATACGGACAAGAAAAACTTACTCACTACGAAGACGCATTCTTGTTTCGATGCGGGTGCATCTCGACTGGTGAGAACCAAAAACTGATTATCCGATAACCATTTTTGGTTCTCACCAGTCGAGATGCAATCGCATCGAAACAAAAATGCATCTTTGTAGTAAATAGTTTTTGTCCGAATGTGAAAATTATAAAAATTATATATATATATATATATATATATATATATATATACACACACACACACACACATATATATATATATATATACACAACGGTTATAAGAGCAAAATTGTCCAAATCGTGTAACAGTATGCAGCATGAGATAATTGTCCACCCAACAAAATGTTTAATATCTAAAAAAATACAAAATAAATAAACTAATTGAGTTTCTTTTTTTCTAGGTTTTCAGATAAGACATTTCGCCATCTTGACATCATTTGTCGTTAGAATTACTGAAAAACAATCCTGAAATTTGGGATTACCAAGTTTTCATTACCGCGATTCTTTGCGGGTTTTTTTAACGCTATTTTTTGCGACCAATTGTTTTTTAAAGATATCAGTTTTTATAAGTTGGAAATAAATTTGAGAATAATCGAAATTAATTGCGAAATACAGCGAAAGTCACGTATGAAAGAAAAATAATTGTTTGTACGGAAAGTAAAGACCTACGTACATCAAATTGTCTTTAAATTAAGTGGCGGCAGAGGAATTATCGTTGAGTTTTTAAAAGATAAGCTTAAATATAAATGCAATACTTAAATGCAACGATCAATTTTGAGTTCTTCTGTAGTTTATTGTTGACTATCGCATCTACACCTCCCTACCTATTGTGATGAAGGTTTAATCAAGATCCCTCCGCAGGAGCTAGCTTTAAATGCCGCCTGATAGGGCATCATCTAAGCTAGTATATATATATATATATATATATATATATATATATATATATATATATATATATATATTATGAATTAATTGATTTAAAATATATTTTTTTTCGCTACACAGTTCTAACCATGTTTCAAAAATGGAAACTAAAAGCCCCGAATTTAATTTTGTAATTAAATTAAAGACATTAATTCCATTTCATTCTCAAGCGAATTTTGGAGTAACTTTTAAAATTACTGGGTTTTAAATACACAGTTAAAACAAAATTCATGTTTCCAAGGTTACAGATAAATCTATTTTTCTAGACAGGGGTGTCTAGGTGTTCAATATATCTATATTTTAATGTATCAGTTATTGCTACTTTTGGTAGTGGGTAGGGATGTATTTTTCAATGAAATCTAACATCCGTTAAAAGCGTGTCGTCTGGATTTTTTTTTTTTAAATTTATATTGTTAACGGCTAAAATTCTTATTTAACTACGATTTGAAATTTTTACTTTTAATTTTATTATATTATAATTCTTTCAAGAACAATTTAAATGTAGTTAGAAGCCCTTACAGTTTGTAGAATTATTGTCATATCAAGTATATTACGATTTTTAAAATTTTATATTTAAATATTACTAAAGTAAAATTTTCATTTCCCTGATTTAGTAAACTTTATTTATTTAATTACAGTTTAAAAGAAGTTTAGGTTAATGTAGTACAATTTTAATTACAACTTTAAAATATTTTCATTATTAGTTTTTAGAGACTATATTTCAGTTAATAGAAGTAAATAGAGTTAAAGAAAAAAAAATTACTTAAAAAACTATTTAAATATAATTTTTTTTAAAATTGTAATATAAATATACTTGATATAGAAAAATAATTTTACTGACTGTAAGTAACCCTAATACATTTACTTTTATTAAATGAAATATAGTCTATAAAAATAATAATGAAAATATTTTAAAGTTGTAATTAAAATTGTAGTTAATTAAAATGAATTCTAACCTAAAAATTTTTAGATTGTAATTAAATAAATAAATAAAGTTTACTAAATCAGAGAAATAAATTAGCTATTTTTGCCGTAAAGAAAAAATTTTTACTTAAATAATATTTTAATATAAAATTTTTAAAAATCGTAATATAAATATACTTGATATAGAAAAATAATTGTACTGATTGTAAGTAACATTAATACGTTTACTTCTATTAAATGGAATATGGACTATAAAAATGAATTAGCTATTTTTGCTGTAGGAAATAAATTTTACCTAAAAAATATTTTAAATATAAAATTTTAAAATCGTAATATAAATAGACTTGATATAGAAAAATAATTTTACTAACTGTAATACATTTACTTAGATTAAGTGAAATATAGTCTATAAAAACTAATAATGAAAATATTTTAAAGTTGTAATTAAAAATGTAGTTAATTAAAATGAAATCTAACCAAAACTTCTTTTAAAATTGGAATTAAATAGATAAATAAAGTTTACTAAATCAGGGAAATGAAAATTTTACTTTAGTAATATTTAAATATAAAATTTTAAAAATCGTAATATACTTGATATGACAATAATTCTACAAACTGTAAGGGCTTCTAACTACATTTAAATTGTTCTTGAAAGAATTATAATATAATAAAATTAAAAGTAAAAATTTCAAATCGTAGTTAAATAAGAATTTTAGCCGTTAACAATATAAATTTAAAAAAAAAAAATCCAGACGACACGCTTTTAACGGATGTTAGATTTCATTGAAAAATACATCCCTACCCACTACCAAAAGTAGCAATAACTGATACATTAAAATATAGATATATTGAACACCTAGACACCCCTGTCTAGAAAAATAGATTTATCTGTAACCTTGGAAACATGAATTTTGTTTCAGCTGTGTATTTAAAACTTAGTAATTTTAAAAGTTACTCCAAAATTCGCTTGAGGATGAAATGGAACTAATGTCTTTAATTTAATCACAAAATTAAATTCGGGGCTTTTAGCTTCCATTTTTGAAACATGGTTAGAACTGTGTAGCGAAAAAATACATATTTTAAATCAATTAATTTATAATATTAATGCTCTGTAAATTTACA